ATTTGTTGGTTAAAATTTTGTAGTTTTACCATTGAAAAACTGAAAAGTTTGGAGTTTTTGTAATTGTTCCGCCCACTTATTTTCTCCTCCTGTCAAGTGAAACAAAAAAATGTAATTAGTTTGTTTTCTTGCAGAAAATATATAGAATTTTTTGACCTGCTGTATTCCCAAAGTTCTGTGTCAAAAAAGGAGGCATCCAGAATTCAAACACATCTGAAGTTTTGTCATGATGACTTGATTTCTTGTGTGCATCGAGTATGAAAAAATCAAAGTGGCAGCTGTGATCCCTGCACATAATATATGCCTGAAATATGTGAGGTCAGTTTAATCAGACAGGAGAACATAAGAACAGCCTGACTGGGTCAGACCAAAGATCCGTCTAACCCAGTATCCTGTCTTCTGACATTGGCCAATGCCAGGTGCCCCAGAGGGAATGAACAGAACAGGTAATCATCAAGTGATCCATCCCCTGTCGCCCATTCCCAGCTTCTGGCAAACAGAGGCTAGGGACACCATCCCAGCCCATCCTGCCTAATAGCCATTGATGGACCTATTCTCCATGAATTTATCTAGTTCTTTTTTGAACCCTGTTAAAGTCTTGGCCATTAACATTAGCATTAAGAGGTGCCATTAACAGATCATCCTTTGTAAAATATGTAGGTCTAGCTTTCAAAGTAGAGTCATTTCTTTGACAAAAGTTTTTTTTAAGTTTTCACAGTAGACGAATATAATGGAAATGTCTATGTATATCAAACATTTAGATCATTAAATTATACAGAGCTCCAGACTTGGGGCTGGCAGTAGGTGCAAAATGCAGCAGCCACCTGGTGAATGTGCACCTCCTGCTGCCTGGGAAGGCCCATCGGAGTCAGATATACAAATACATATCAGCCCCAAAATATTCCAGAAGAGCAAGATTGGGCTCAGAGGTACAATGTGTGCAGAGGAAGCTTCTCCACATTGTCTCACAATGTAAAATAGAGGTCATTTTCATGACCATTCATTTATTCTACTTTCTCTGCTGACGTGGCCCCAAAAATTTAATTGTTGGCTTTGGTAATGAATTTTGCGGCATGGGGCCTGTCTGCAGAATGTGAATGTGACTATCAACTAGTTTCACAAAGTTTTAGTTTCTCCTATCATACTGCACTTTAAACCTGCAAGCAGAATGCAGCTAAATTTACTGTAGCTTTTTTAGTTCATTGGTCAGTTTCCCATGCACCACATTATTCTCCATGTTTCTGTTTCTCTATTCTTGTTTTGCTGTTGGATTCTTTCCCTGTTTTCCTCTCTGATTCTCTAAGCTTTGACTTTTTTTTTCTTTTTTAAATCTGTTTACAGGTTACTTTCAGCTATTGCAGCATAAATTCAGTAAGAAGATGGAGGTGTGGCAGCTTGCCAGGATGCATACATTGTAAAAAAGCCCTCTCTCTCTCTCTCTCTCTCTCTCTCTTTCTATCTCCCTTCTGGGTGAATTGTCTTCAACATAGCAGTTCTAGCAACTGTTTACTGTTGGACAGAATACAGAGTGAAGTGTTGATTGGCATAAACTGTACCTTCTTAATCACATTAGGGATGTGATGCAATGATTGCACTGGGCCCTAGGTTTGTAAGATGCCATTATGTTACATATACAGAGATGCTAACTAACTAGATAAAAATGAGGAGGAGAAATCGGGGGCCTTCTTGTTAGTTAAAATGTTGCCTTCCCATTCTGTGGCTGCTGGTGGGCACAGAAACAGCAAACACCAAAAGTGCAGATGAGAGCAAATTTACTTTCTTTTCTCTCCCTGGTACTTCCATAAAGCCCTGGTTTGCATAGGCTTTCGTTTGAAAAAGGAATTTAGCATGCCAGCTGTGTTTTCCTGGATTTAATTTTTGTTTAGTCTTTACTTTCATTGCTATTGCATCAAAGAAAAAAATAGATCTGTTCCTCAGAACCAGAAGGAAATGTGATAATGAAAGGAGAGGAACCCACTTCTGACTGGCAAATATCTCGTTAGCACACCAACAGCTACCAGCTGTCACCAAGACTGATTGGCCATATTTCCTCAGCGCTATTTTGGTATCACATATTTGTTACTGAAATTTAATTTTAGAAAGGGATGGAAGGAAACACTTGTTTTTAAGATAATAGCATTGGGTCCAAGTCAGATTCCATTGAGATCAATAGAAAGACTCCTAGTGACTTCATTGAGAGTTGGATCAGGTCAGTTGCCTTGTTCACAAATATTAAAATAGCCATTCTTCTCCCACCAATCATTGGCACTTTATCATCAAGCTGCATTCATAAAAGAATCTGGCATGTGCCTCAAGGGCACAGCTGGCAAGTGTGGATGGCTTTCATTAGAGAAGTTTTCCTGATGATCAACATGCCAAAGCCATGACACAAAAATAACTTGTGCTCAATGTCAGTTATGCACTCTGCCAGTTCAAATACACATCCTTCCAGGGATGCTTTTTATCCATACCGACAGTTGGCATATAGAAAGCAAAGCTGCTATACTTTAAAAAAAAAAAGAAAGAAAGAAAAGGTAGAAATACACGTGTAAAAAACACAAAGTGGCAAGACAGTGGGCAGATAAAACTACATGTCATTCGAGAGGAACACAAACACTGACACCAAGAAAAGACATTGCTCTCACAAAGTAATAAATTTAGGCTCAATACTACCAACAGGACAGTGAATTTCACATACAAAGAGGCTGGAGTTCAAATATACAGTACTAACGCAAAATCAAATTCAGGAAAGGTCAGATGCAGATAAAACGTGTCGGTTTGTGTTTGGGACAGACATTCACAAATCTGACCAAAAGATTTTTTCCCTCTAGCTGTAAATCTGGTATTAGTTTGTTGTTATTATTATTATTATTTATTATTTGTATTACCATGGCACCTTGAAGCCCTAGTAATGGACCAGGACATCGTTGGGCTAGGAGCTGTATAAACATTGTATAAAAAGTCAGACACTGCCCAAACAGTTCATCTATTAAAGCCATACAGTTTAAAATTCACGCAACAGAAATTCCAATGAAAGCATAAAACCCCAGGCAAAACAACTAAATCTGGCCCCCTGGCTCACCTCCCATGCCTTCTCCACCTCCCATGAACCCTCTGATAAGCTTCTGTAACTTGACTGTCTTTGTGTCCTATAAAAGTACTATACTATACTATAAAAAAGTACTATAAAAGTGTGTTGGATGTTTAGATCTGATCTTGTATTCCTTTTGTACCCAAAACATGGACTAAAGTCAATGGGAGTGTCAAGTGTGCAAAGGATGCAAGATTTGGTCCACTATTCCCAATCCATGAAGTAAAGAAGAAAGATAAGGTACATAATGCTTCATCAGTGATTTAGATAATGGCATAGAGAGTACACTTATAAAGTTTGCAGATGATACAAAGCTGGGAGGGATTGCGAGTGCTTTGGAGGATAGGATTAAAATTCAACATGATCTGGACAAACTGGACAAATGGTCTGAAGTAAATAGGATGAAATTCAATAAGGACAAATGCAAAGTACTCCACTTCGGAAGGAACAATCAGTTGCACACATACAAAATGGGAAATGACTGCTGAGGAAGGAGTACTGCGGAAAGGGATCTGGGGGTCACAGTGGATCACAAACTAAATATGAGTCAACAGTGTAACGCTGTTGCAAAAAAAAGCAAACATCATTCTGTGATGTATTAGCAGGAGTGTTGTAAGCAAGACACAAGAAGTAATTCTTCTTCTCTACTCCACACTGATTAGGCCTCAACCAGATTATTGTGTCCAGTTCTGGGTGCCACATTTCAGGAAAGATGTGGACAAATTGGAGAAAATCCAGAGAAGAGCAATAAAAATTATTAAAGGTCTAGAAAACATGACCAGTGGGGGAAGGTTGAAAAAATTGGGTTTGTTTAGCCTGGAGAAGAGAAGACTGGGGGGGACATGATAACAGTTTTTGAGTACATAAAAAGTTGTTACAAGGTGGACGGAGAAAAATTGTTCTTCTTAACCTCTGAGGATAGGACAAGAATCAATGGGCTTAAATTGCACCAAGGGCGGTTTAAGTTGGACTTTAGGAAAAACTTCCTAACTGTCAGAGTGGTTAAGCACTGGAATATATTGCCTAGGGAGGTTGTGGAATCTCCATCATTGGGGATTTTTAAGAGCAGGTTGGACGAACACCTGTCAGGGGTGGTCGAGATAATACTTAGTCCTGCCATGAGTGCAGGGGACTGGACTAGATGATGTTTTGAAGTCCCTTCCAGTTCTATGATTCTGTGATTCTATGATGATAAGAATCTACACAATCTGGTTAGAGGTATTATTTTGGCTAGAATTAGGTGGGTACAGGTGGTTGCATAGTACTTATATGCATGAATTATTTCAAGCCTAGTGAAGCATGGGCATTAAGCAGAGGTTTGATTAAACACAGCAAATGGTGAACACCAAATTAAAGAGATAACTGCCAGGTTCATTCATTTTCATACAAGGTGAAGCCCCAATAAACATTTATATTTAAGGTCCAAAGGCCTTTAAAATAAATAAAACACTGAATGGAATCCTACTGTCCAGCTGCACCCTTGCCCCTTTAAGGACACTTGATCCCTCCAAAGTCCTCTTAGCTACTGGCTCCTTTCTGCTTGAAAACATAAATAAATAAATAAATCTTACTTCACTAATCTGCAAATACATCAAGACGCACCAAAAACCTAAACCACCAGTCTCACCCACTTTCCCAGCAAAGATAGAGTAATAGAGCACTGTGTGAGGTATTTCTATTACTAAGAATGCATTATGTTTATAGGAAATCCTGCAGTCCTCACGCAGTTTTTTAGTTCAATACTTATAGAAGTCAGTGGGAGCTCTACCTGAGGAGTGCCAGAGTATAAACTGAGTATGGACCTGAGAATTTGGCCTACAAAATATAGTTTCTTATTTGGTAGTATACTATGAAGTACTGGACTGGAATGGCTCTTCACAAGACTTTCTTGTCATGGTCATATTACTAGGATGAAAGACCAGTGAATTCTGAAGCATGTTTATCAAGGAATGCTCCTACACAGCCAGTGATCATCTGGTCACCCAAAGCTTTGGTGGTGCATTAAGATCATCATGGATGGGCACCATCTGAATATCAGCCCAGACCACCTTAAGGATATAGCCAGAGACTGATCCAGGTGGTATGCGATCCGCAAGCAGGCCACGTCCCTTTGAGGTTTGCCATAATGATAATTATACTGCTAAAAATAAATGAACACTCAACCTCTTTCTGAGTTTCGGGAAGGGAGGACAAAAGCTCCACGGGTGATTGTCAAGATAGAAGGGTGCAGCGGAAGTCCCTTGTCTCCCATGCATCTGAGGGGATGGCTTATCAGACTTTCCCTTGCCGTAGGTGTCATCCTGTACCTGGGAACAACTTTCTCATTTCCCAACTCTGGGATTAGGACTGGGTTTTGGGGCCTTGCTGTGCACATTATACCAGTCACCTTTTGCAGGCTGGGAAGGAATTTTCCCTTCACTACCAGACTGGGAAGCAGCCCAGGCACCCAGTGGATAGGTTAGGTTGCAATGTATTCATATTGGTGCAACTTCGTGGTGCTCAGTGCAGGTATTTGTTCAATATGGGGTTTGGTTCACTGATACACCAGAACTGGAATAAAGTTCGGAGAAGGCATCCCCTAAAAAAGGTGGGGAACAAGAGCGGAGCTCTGGATGTCTGCTACAATGAGAGGCCAATCTGTTTTCCACAAACCCTCAACCCTCAGATAAGGGGTGGGCCATGGGGTCCCAGCAATGGTGCTGGGACCAGGTGAAAGATGTGTATGGGAGAGAGGAGGGAGGCAATGGCAGCCCTTCACCAGGCAGTATGGATTACAGAAGGAAGGATGAGCTGCACTTGATGACTTATTGCTGGATAGTTCCCAGATATGTGCAATTAATAAACTTGTGGCCTAGTTAATCCACATTTCTAGTGTCTTTTCTTCCCACAGTGTCCAGGACAAATGAATACTGAGTAGCTAATGCTTACAATACAATATGCAAGTCACTTAGTACTATACCCATGGATTAGTATATCACTTTTTATAAATATACTGATATAGTTACAAAGTGGCTGTTTCTGGTTTTGAGGACCAGAAACACACTAAGGGAGTAGCACTTGGAGCAAATTGTATGGAAATGTGGTGTATTTACCTACACAACTGTGCACTGTACTTTCCAAGTGTAAAGACTTTCACTGCCTGCTGCAAGGCAACTGCCATTTTGTACTTCAGGTCATAGGCAGAATGTTACAGAGCAGATTACTGCTCTTTCCCCCTAAAGATGCGGTTGACAACCCTCCAGGATTGGCCTGAAGTCTCCAGGAATTAAAGATTAATCTTTAATTAAAGATTATGTCATGTGATTAAATCTCTAGGAATATGTCCAACCAAAATTGGCAACCCTACCTAAGGCGCTTTGTGTTTTGTTCTTTATTTACTGTTTCTTATTCTGAAATGAAAGCCACATAGACTGGAAGAGACGTGTTTTACTCTGTGTGTGTGGAAACAAAAGGCATTCTGCTTGCAGACAGAGGAGGCAGAAAAAATTCCTGTAGAGGACAGTACTCCAAGATGCAACACTTTCACCTCCTCTTTTATGGTACAGCATGTGCCCCTACAAAACTGGCCTCAGAGTGCTAGTGAATGTGAGTGGGAAGGGATAGTTCTCGTAATTGTAAAAGCATTTTTTTCCCCATACCAAGGGGGACCCAGTGAGTCAGTAGGCTGGTAACTGGACAAAGCTCTTTTCACATATGCTGCAGGCTAGCTGTTCAAATCTAACCCTGGCCTGCCATAGAATATTACAGTTTAAGGCCAGAAGGGACCACCAGATCATCTAGTCTGACCTCCTGGAAATCAGCAGTCTGCTATCGTCCGATGGACATTTGGCTGCTGGTGCAAAATGATGCCAGTGGCATGGGCGACGGGTAGCATAGGCTGGAAGAGGCTGTGCCTCCCCAAACAGCCTCAAGTGGTCCTGCCTGTCCTCTGCCCCCAGTCCTCCTCCTGCTATTCTTGGTGCTCTGCCCTGGCTCAAGCTGGCTGGGGCTGGCCAGCCTGCTGCGGGGACTCGGGGCACTTGCTTTTCTGCAGGCTTGTGAGTATTCCAACCACAGAGGTCAAGGACTGAATGGAATGGAAACTAAACTTCCCACACATACCCTTAGAAGTTGTCTGTGTGGGTCTAGCTTGAGGGACAATGGGATTATCTATACTGCAATCACAGCTCGTGTAGACATACCCAAGCTACCTTCAGTCTAGCTAGGGTACCAGAGCAGTGAAGTCATGGCAGGACGGACACACTTCAAGCTGGGTTAGCTCCACAAGTAATTACCCTGGGTTCCGGGTGGGCTCACACTGCCCGTGCTGCAATGTGTGCAGTCCCAGCTTCACGGCTCAAAGACCTAGTTGGCGAGATCAAAGCTAGCGCAGATAAACTGTTCAAGCTGCAATCACACCATGTGATTGCAGTCTACATACACCCAAAGGCAAGACAGCATGGGGAAGCTTGCTCTGCTACTGCCAGTTCTGAAGCATTCTGAGCCTAAGGGCTCTCTGGAATGGTTAACCTGGCACCTTTCACAAGTGCTACATTCACTTCCAAAATGAATAAAAATAATGAAGTGTCATTATTACAATGCAACGACATGAACATTGACCAAAGATCATTCGACTACATTTGTTCAAACCTTAAATACAAGACCTCTTTATCATAGGTGAGCTGCCTTGTAATTTAATGATTTTATATGGGTCTTCCATTTTAAAAAGTTTCCATTGACACTGTAGCAGGTCCAGTAGTTCCCACCTTTATATATTATATACGTATATTAGAATCATATTGGATCTGCATAGTGCTTGGATATGAGATTCTATATTAATGGACGTTTTATGACTCACCTGGTGCTAGTGAAAGTATATAGAGATATTACAGCCACAAGACATAAAATACTTACAACATATTGCCAGTGTACGAGAGCTGTGTGATCCATCCGGAAAGATCTTACAATAATTCTTTGAGTTTATGTAATATCTAATCCAGTGGTTCCCAAACTTTTCCTCTCGCACCCCACCACCACAAATAATAGAATGTGTCTAGCTCTCCCCTGACCGGGGCCAGAAGCAGAGTCACAACTAGGAGCAGGGGCAGGGAGCTGAAAGCAAGTGCCAAGAGCGGGGACTGGCAGCCGAGAGTGGGTGCAAGCCATGACCATGAGCAGGGCTGTGGCCAGGGGTTGGGGGCAGAGCCAGTGCCGCGGCTGCGGCCAGCGGCTGTGGCCAGGGGTGGGGCCTGAGGGGAGCTGGAAGCAGAGCAGGGCTAGCTGGCACTCCCTACCGCCCTCTTGTGGGGCCTGGCCCAGGCCCCGCCATGTCCCCCTGATGTTCATCCACACCCCCTACCGGGGCATGTCCCACAGTTCGGGAACCACTGATTAATCTCTCTTATAAGGATTTTAAGCAGCAAGAATCGGGTCTGGGATCTGGCTCTACATGCCCAAATTATATGTTCATTGTTTGGATTGTTAAAAAAAGATCAGCATTCAAACATTTAAACATTGATAATTAGTTGTAAATTCAGAGCTATATAATGTGATGAGAGATACATCTTTTGAGTACTTGATATTAAAATGGAAATTAACGCTTGGCTATGTTGTTGAGAAAAAATAAAGTAACTTACAATGTTGTGTCTTTCATAAAGTTTGCACTTCTCTCCATCTCTCTTTAACCTTAGAATTGGACAAAGTTGCTAGAAGGTGTTCACACGGAGATCATAAAGGATTGCCCCAAGTATAGATTGAGAGAGTCTCTGTAATAAAAAACTGCAGGTCAGACACAGGCATTAGAGTGTGTAGTCATTGTCCTTTACCATCCCTGTTGTTGGCCTTCTGAAAGCAGCTCCTAAAAATGATAACAGTTGTTGTTGTACAAGTCAGTGATACATCCCAAAGGGAACTGTCTAAGAGAACTCTCCTTCTGATCCAGTAAAGACAAAATCAACCTGACAATCAATGTCAGAAATGACTGTCAGCCAAACACTGGCGTACGAAAAAAAGAAAGGCTCCTAGGGAAAAGAAAGATAGAGACAGATAATTGGACTCAACTTGATACCATGCCTAAGGACAAGCCTGAGCAACTCTGAGGTCAAGTCATCTTGAATGGAGACCACTGGGAAATGCAGCTCATATAAGTGGTGTCAGATCCTGGTTTAGTTGTAGGCAATAAACAGGAGCTTACAGGTAGAACCAGAACTAATCAGGTCTGGTATCTGGGGTGGATCATGGCATTTGCATATATACAATATAAGAATAAGAATGGTAACAGGAATATAAAATAACTAGGGTTGTCAAGTGATTAAACAAATTAATCATGATTAATTTCACATTTAAAAAAATTAATCGTGATTAATCACACTGTTAATAATAGAACACCATTTATTTAAATATTTTTGGATGTTTTCTACATTTTCAAATATATTGATTTCAATTACAACACAGAATACAAAATGTACAGTGCTCACTTTATATTTATTTTTATTACAAATATTTGCACTGTAAAAAACAAAAGAAATAGTATTTTTTTCAATTCCCCAATTACAAGTACTGTAGTGCAATCTCTTTATCATGAAAGTTGAACTTACAAATGTAGAATTATGTACAAAAATAACTGCATTGAAAAACAAAACAATGGAAGCATGTCCTCTGGAATTGTGGCCGAAGCATGAAGGAACATACAAATGTTTAGCACATCTGGCATGTAAATACCTTGCAATGCCAGCTACAAAAGTGCCATGTGAACTCCTGTTCTCACTTTCAGGTGACATTGTAAATTAGAAGTGGGCAGCATTATTTACATAAATGTAAACAAACTTGTTTGTCATAGCAATTGGCTAAACAAGAAGTAGGACTGAGTGGACTTGTAGGCTCTGAAGTTTTATATTGTTTTGTTTTTGAGTGCAGCTATGTAACAAAAAAATTCTACATTTGTAAGTTGCATTTTCTTGATAAAGAGATTGCACTACAGTACTTGTATGGGGTGAATTGAAAAATACTATTTCTTTTATCATTTTTACAGTGCAAACATTTCTATATAAAAATAATAATATAAAGTGAGCACTGTACACTCTGTATTCTGTGTTGTAATTGAAATCAATATATTTAAATGTAGAAAAACATCCCAAAATATTTAATACATTTCAATTGGTAGTCTATTGTTTAGCAGTGTGATTAAAGCTGTGATTAATTGTGATTGTTTTAATCACGATTAATTTTTTGAGGTAATCACGTGAGTTAACCATGTGATTAATCGACAGCCCTAAAAATAAGTAGTTTGTGCCACTTCTTTTTATTATGGTAATGATTTGCATGTACTAGACCCCTTTGATACATTTTTACATTAGACTTATTATGGTAATGGGTGAGCAAGTATTGTTAGTGCCAAGCCTGGGAGAGACTCAGGAATTTTTGTCACAACTGCACGAAGGGGACCTCTGCACTCTTCCCTAATTTAAGATGTTTCCTGAGTTGAATAAACATGGTGACTGTTTTCTAGGAGGCATGGATGATGCGCTCTAGTTTCATCTATGCATGAAGTATTCCACACGCTAACCGCAAGGTGCTACCTGAAAGTCTCTTGATCCTTAATGATTAACACAGTTGTCTTAAACAAGCTTTTCTTAATATATTACCATTTCTATTGTACAATTAATTGTGAGGGGAGACTGTGTGTACCTGTAGCAGGGCACGATGTCAGGATCCAGACAAGGGCAGTCAGGACCAATGGTTAGAGCAGGGGCAACCCGGAGGCTGAGAGAGCACAGATTCTTTTTTAGCCTGGTGCAATCACCGTGATCAAACATAAATGCAATTCTGGGGCAGACCTCCACTCTACTGTTGAGAAAGAGCATCATTAGGAGAAAAATAAC